CCTACACATCCTCCACAATCCCATCATGCCTCTGCTTGTAGCCTGAGGGCGCATGGGCCGGCCAGTGCACGATTGATAGGGGTTTCAAACGCGAGTCCCATTCCAAGGTCAAGCCCAACTGACAGCTTCAAACTACTGACCTCTTATTCAGCCTCTTTAGAAGTGGATTTCATTTCACACACCAACAAACCAGACGTGGACGAAGTGATATGCATGTAGTAGATGAGAATTTGTCATCTTTCTTATATCAACTATATAATGAAGACAAATGTAATTTTTAAACGTCACATTGGGGCTAGTTGTCACAGGTTGTGTGCATATTTATGTATTTAAATGTCGTGCTAAATATAAGTAAGGGAAAAATATTTTTAAATATGTTTAATAAAAAATTATTATTGTATCAAAACCACGTTTGTGTGGTATCATCCTAATAGACACCCTGTAGGAGAAATACTTCAGAAAAACAACACCAGTAACATTATTTATTTTTATGTTAATTATTAATATTCAGAATTTGATCTATTCGATAGCATTACTTAATACAAATGTACAGTCTTTATATTCATCTAATATATAGAAACAATAGGCTAATACGTGATTCATGAGTCATTTATATTTCAATAATTAATCATTATTTTAATTTGTTCATATGAATGAATAATAATTATTATTATTACTATTATTATTTAAAAAAATTAAATTTTGATCTATTTGAGAATATTATTTAATACAAATTTACAGACTATATATGAATATAGACAATAAAAATAATCATATAAAAATAATAATACATTCATTGAACATTTTAATCAAATTAATTTATATTTAGATTTCATAAATCATTATTATTACATATTAATAAAACATTATTACAATTATTCAAATAATTAACAATGAATAATAATAATAATAATAATAATCATCATCTATCTATCTATCTATCTATCTATCTATCTATCTATCTATCTATCTATCTATCTATCTATCTATCTATCTATCTATCTATCTATCTATCTACCTACAGTGGTGTGAAAAGGTTTTTGCCCCCTTCCTGTTCGTGTGACAAATATGCAAAAAATTAAAAAAACAGGAAGGGGGCAAAAACCTTTTCACACCACTGTATATATCCATCCATCCATCCATCCATCCATTTATCATCTATCTATCCATCTATCAATCTCTATCTATCTATCAACCCCGATCTATCCATCTATCCATCCATCCATCCATCCATCATCCATCCATCCATCCATCCATCCA